ATTCTTAGTACATGCCATGATTTCAGTTTTCATTAGAAGTTTTCCAAGAACTGTAAGTTCCACATACATGTATATCAAGCTTTCTTCTTGTACTGTACTTAGTTTCTGTATAACAATCGTTTTGTTTTTTAGTGCTGAGAGTTTTGTTCAATTGCAGCAATAGGGGAGTTTGGTCAAAAAATGTGTATGTACATCGTATAATTCATGCAAATCATATTGTTGTTAAGATATTTGATAGGAGTAATACTTCCCAGAAGCATTCAGAAACACAGACATTCTTCTTATTTTCTACAGCATAATTTAAGATTATCAAATATGAAAAATCATTAGTAATTTACAAATATCTTCATTTTTGTGAAATTCACAAAGAAATGCAAATTCCTTTTTGTGCAACAGTACTGAACAAAAATACATTGTGGGTGAGAGTCTCTGCGTATGCCTTTTGAGGGAGGATCCAAAGTGATTGTGAATGTTCTGTTCTTTGTGCTTTCATCATCCAACAAATTAAGTCGTAATTAGAAAAGCAGTGAAATGGATCATATTTCATCTAATTAGAATTATCTTTATTGAGATCTAGATCTAGAAGTCATGTCTGATTTGTGTCCAATGTACCCCTGGGAAGTCACTAGTTGATCAAAGACGTATGATGTCTAAATAAGAAACATATAACAGGCTGGAGCTCATTAATGTGATGAAATGAGAACATGACTTGGGTAGGGCAGGCTAAGCTTTACTACTCCATCTTGATTAGTGTTAGTCCAAAAATGAGAGTTCCTTATGCAAGGGAGGAGGCCTCATTAAATACCATTTATATTGGTGTTAGAGCTTACAGTTGTCCCACATAATTTGCATGGTAAGCTTTGCTCAATATTCCATTGGCACAAATTTTCTTCTAAAAAGAAATTTTGTTCTTGCTCTGGAAAGTAGTTGGGCTTTTCACAGAGATATCGGGCCATATTGTGCAGTAAAAAATTGATTCCAAGGTTAGAGTCCAGATCAATATTAAAAGAATTCGAACGAGGTCTATAAAGTGTTCCCTTTGACTTTCTTTCTCACATTGGGCTTCAATGAATAGATCTGTTCACTTATTTTATGCATACATTTTTAACATAAGTTTTTTTTAACAATTAAAAAGCTTGCCAGAGGCTTGTTTGACATGGCAGCAACAAGTGCATGCAATGTGAAAAACATTTGTTGGTATACCATATTGCATAGTAGGTAAATCAAATAGTTGGTCACCAATTTCACCAAGGGTTTGGAGAAGAAACACTCATAAATTGAAATACATTAGTGAACAGGTCTATTATTAAGAGAATGTAGCCCAATAGAAAATGCTAAGGGCAGGGCTTACATAATAATATTCATATTTCTCACGAGATCATTATGATTCATATCGATACCAAAAATTGCAATGTTGTTAAAAAATTATTTTTATAAAAACAATATTGTTGTTTGATATCAAAATATTTGCAAGCTTCAAAGAAACTTGTGACCCCTTTACAATGTACTTCCCGGCAAAGTCTGGAAATGGGTAATAAAGGACATCCACTTAGAGGGAAGTCCATCACAAAATCAATTTACTTTTAATTGTTTGAGAGAAATCTGATTAGATCATAAGAAAGTTGTGATTTCTTATCTTGTAATCTAAATCTAAATCTAAACTTTAATTGACAGCTCTTTGATATTCATGGTGAAGTGCTCTCCATTTGTTTCTTACTGAGATTTGTTTATAAATATACCCTATTTCTGAATTGTGGATAAAGAATTAGATCTACACTGTAATTCAGCAGGATGGGTATATGAACATGCCTCCTATCTATGTTAAGGGTATACAGACTATGTTCAAATAATATCTTGAGAGAAAAAAATAGAAAGTTTATGTCATTCTTACTGTAAACAAAATTAACAAATGGAGTGCTGCTATGCAAAAGTTTCTGGTTATAAATTACCACTCTGTAATATGGCTCTTTGTTTCAGACAATGATTTTATTTGATTATGAATAGAGTCTGTTTAAAGTTAGGATATTTGGCTCTGTCCGACCACTTATTTTAAGAAGTGAATTTCAGATTAGGTTGAAGAGACTTTCTCAGAAGTTTCCATGTGCAATATTTCACAAAACTCGCCTACACCAGACTTGTGGGAATAACATTTACGTGTACAAATTTCACAGGCAGCAAAACTCATGGCACACTTTGAAATTACTCAGAACTTGCTGGAAAATGTTAAGTCCTGGTTCTGGTCAGGAATTTATGATGATAAATTTTCTTACGAGTTGGTTCTTGAGTTGGTGGAGGGTTTGCGCATTGCGTAAGATTTGTCGGTCATTACAGCCAAGTGCACTCTTGGTGACCGATAACATCTTATGGTGGGTCAATTAATATCTGAACAATGTCAAATTCCCCAAGAGAACACTTAATTGTATGTCTCTAGACTGAAATGCTGTCCGTCTTCCTCAGTACTGTGATCTCGGCGTACATCCACTGCCTGGGGTCTCGGGGGCTCTTTAACCTTGCGGCAGGCAGGGTGAGTGGGTTGATGCACTCAGTACATGCACATGTATATCCATCTTTCTAATAATAATACAATCGAGAGTGTGAAATCTCACCCTCAGGGTAACATGTCCCAAAAGGCTTTCTTGATTAGTTTCTAATAATTTCCAACAGTTTTGGTGAAATCTAGACACTCTGTAGACAAATTTGAGATAAGAACCGTAATCTAATTTTTGGGTTTATTCGGAGCAGATGTGGTGAGAGGTGTGTGATGTCAATGCTGCGCTGTCACAAAGCGTCAACACTTGTTGTGTGTGTTGTGAAAGTGTGCTCAAGGCATGTATGCTGATTAAGAAAGAGATCTGGATCCGTTTGAGATTTCTGTTTCATTGTTTCATACAGCTGAAGATAGTTAAGGAAATGGGGTCAAGAAATTTATTTGCTGGATATTAAATACTTTTGCATCATAATCAGTTTGGCCAACTTTCAGAAAAGTTTCAGGATATCCAAATTAAATTTGAACTACATGTAGGTTGAATTCTTATAACCAACTGAAGTTTGTAGGCATTAAACACTTGCCAATCATTGTAACAACTGTCCTGCACAAACTTTTACCTACCCCTTAAACCCTGTCCTTTAAAACCCAGTTTGTTCTACAATGTGCTCCACCAACAATTAATCTGTGGTGAAAATAGAGTAAATGGACTCTGACCCTAACTCTAACCTTATTTCTGAACCTACCTAAAATTCACAATTGCAAAATTAACATTAAACTTTGCCTTTAGCAAAATAAATCCAGAGCAAATGTCATCAAAGCAAAGGTTATAGAACTGCAAATCCTATAAAATCTGTGATGAAATAAACCTAGCGAAAATTATGTAATGCTGTACAGGGGTAATAGTGATTCTGTGCATCATATCACAACTTTATTAAAATATTATTAGTTAAAGATGGTTGTTTCTTACACAAAATAAACGTTAATGTATCAAGTGTGTTAAGCGCCAGAAAGGTGTTAATTATGTACAAAAATGACATGTTTTTGTATTCTTCTGACCCCAAAACAGATGTTAAGATAGAATTTCATATAATTTCTTTTTTATAAAGAGCTTTCACCAAATTTTCCTTTCATAAAAAAGATAGCATTGATTACATGAAATTCCTTTTGCATCATGGATTACGTGAATTTCCTGACTGACATTAGGATGAGCCTGAGTCCATCCAAAATGACAAACTGATATACAAAAGACCTGAGGCAATAATCATCTTTGATATATCCCACAATGAATCTTAATTGAATTTATATGTTTTACTACTTGTGCTACTCCATTGAGGATATGACAGCCCCTGCTGCACCCTGAAACTGAAACTATAACACCCCAAGAAAAAAAAGATTGGAATATTCACGTGACGGAATATTTCCCAAGGAAAGATTTGATTCACACCAGCCGTTATCTAATTTAGAGCTATCAGAAGACGCGATCGCAAGGCTTTAAAGCTCGTAATTGACCAATGAAAAGAGATTGGAATAATATGAGTAAGAGTGACTGAATGAGTTACAAGAGAGAGAGAGAAATATTGGGCTTAATTGTGTTCATTTTGGTAAATAGGTGAAATTATGTTATCAGGAAACGTCCGTACAAGCACAGCCGCACGCTTCCCTGCTACTCGGTACGCCGTGCCTATGCAATGTTTGGAAGTGTTTTAAGCCGGTAAATCTCGAAGAAATTAAGATTGTCATGATAACTTAAGTAGGTATAATAGAGAAGTTAAGGAAGCCTTAGGCAGATAAGTCATGATGATAAGTCTCTCTTTGTAAAGGGAAGCTATTGATTAGCTTACTTTTACACCTCGGCACGCTCTGAAAGTGTTTCCACTCACCCTCAACACGGTAGCAGGAGTTCACACTCAATCAAGTTTACTTCTTCCCTGGTAAATTGTGCTTGTTATGTTTTTATTGAAATATGGATACTTACAAATCCTTTAAAAATTTATTGCACTTTTCAACCATAACCATAACCATTTCAAAACAAGCCTGTTGAAAAGTGCATGCCAGTAACAATATACTGTTTATTGGTTTCTACTGAATATTACAATTTCAATTCAGAAGTGATATTTTCATTATTCTCAGAACAAAACAGGGAGCAGCCAATTTAACTGAAGGAAGTAATCTAAAACTTCACCTGATTTTGACAACCGCACTTTCTTATGTGTGTGATTACATTTCTCTTATTATTTCTTTTCCCCTTGTTTAGGTGTTATTTTTGCATTGTGTATAGGATCATCTATCTATAAGTCCCTGTAACTTTTTGTTGATCCAGCCTCTTTGTAATTACCAAAGTGCATTTTCCATTGTATTGGCTTATCCATATTTGTAAGAAATATTTGAATTGTATTCTTTGACTTTGCATGTTTTTGTGAAAGTTGTGAATAAATTCAATTCAATTTAATGCAATAGTGGTTGAATTTATTTTCACACTTTTTAAAACTTTATTATTTTTCTTTCTTTTCAGGAAGCCCGTAAGAAGAGAGAAGACAGGGCCAAGAGGTTTGGTGCATCAAGCAAAGATAAATCAGGAGAGAAGGAGGAGGAGGAGGAACAGGAAGATATATCAAACGTTGTACTAGCCCCAGGGTCTAAAATAGGTAACATACTTAGAATTTCACAATAAATCAACGAACTAACAATATTTTTAAATATGTCATCTTATTGATATCATTGAAAAAAATAGATGATAAAGATAATGAAACACTCTAAAGTCTGCTGCACTTTACTTTTCTTTATCTTTCTCTTCCTCACCCCCCCCCCTCTCTCTCTCTCTCTCTCTCTCTATCTGTCTCTCTGTCTCTCTCTCTCTCTCTTCCTCTCTCTCTCTCTCTCTTCCCACTCTCTCTATCTCTCTTCCTCTCTCTCTCTCTTTCTCTCTCTCTCTCTCTCTCTTTCTCTCTCTCTCTCTCTCTCTCTGCTTCCTACCCCCTCCCACCCCCATCTCTTCATCTTTCCCTTTCTTTCTTTCTCTTTCTCTCTCTCTCTCTACTCTTCTATTTCTCTCTCTCCCTTTCTTCTGCTCCTTTACCCACTCTCTCTATTTATCTGTCTTCCCCATTCTCACTTTCCCTATAATGCATTCAAGTATTCTCTCCACTTTTTTTTCTTTCTCTCTCTCTCTCTCTCTCTCTCTCTCTATGTCTTTCTCGCCTCATTTCTAGATGCTGAGTATGAATACATAATGAAAAAAAGTGAGAAACATGCCCTTCAATCGTTTATTCTTAAAAAAGAATTATGAAGACTTGGTAAAAAGGGAAACATCTTTTTTTCAAAGAACATATTTTTGATAAGTTTTTGAACAGGTAGGTAGGGAGAGACCAAAGGGAGAGGTACTAATACAAGTATTAATCATCATGAACAGCACGACCCGATAACATATTCAAAATAGCATATCTCCCTAACATTTAAATGCTTGATGAACCGTAACTAAATTGTGGATTCAGATTCTAGTTACTGATAAACGTCATGTTTAATAAGCTTAGTCTTGCAAGAATCGGGCAGTCTCTGAAAAACTTCCAAAAATGGGTAACATGTTAAGATCTTCAGAAGATAAGGAGATCTGTCAAATTATGAAAGGAAAAAATAAATCATATGAGTCAGTTTTTATGGGGTATAACAGAGATGAATATTGACATTAATGCTGTGACAGTGATAGGTGGATGTGCATAGTATACAAATATTATTTCGGTTTGATCCAGATTAGAAATGACATCTTTCTTTTAATCCTTCCCGTTGGACCCAATTTCACCAATGCATCTCAAATAAAGGCATGTTCACATTTGATGTGGTAAACTGGTGAAAAGGAAAATATGTTATGCTTAAATAAATGGAAAGTGGGGATGAGCTAGGAACAGTACCTGCATGAAACAAGGCCCTCAAGTGTTTGGTAGATTTAAACTGGGCTCCACACTTTACTTTTTGTGTCAGTGACTCCAGATGACATGAGTCCCCTTTAAAACAAAATTTAAAAATTTAAGAGGGGGTGGGGGGGGGGGGGGGGGGGGAGGGGCATGTGTTCCAGGTACACGTTTTGATTTAATACAGACCTTTTGTTTGTTCTTGTCCTCATTCTTAAAGACATACACAATTCTCTTTCACTTTCTTATTCATGATTTGGGGTTCTTGTCAATTGTTTGTGAATGACTTGGATTGTTTTATGGATTTTTTTAAAATGTAATTATGTAGACTTTATATTTATCAGTTTTTTTCTGGGACTGTTTTTACAAACAGAGATGCCTTATTTCAGGCTTTTACATGCTTCATACTGTATAGAACGTATCGTCTGTTTGGAGCCAGAAGGGCGTTAACTCATGAGTTCACACCCTCGTGGCTCTCAACAGATGCCAATCATGAGGCTCCAACGAGCTTGGGTCTTCTTTCAGGTCAATTGGATAAAATTTACTGGCATCCCTGCACAAGGATATTTATCAATAAAACAAAATGACTTCTTCGTAGTTTTCTACTACTTCTTCTTCTTCTTCTTTCCTTTTAGCTGTGTGTCTGCGAATGTATGTTTATGTGTGTTGATGATTGAATAGTTGTATTAACATAGGATTTAATTTATGTATGTATGATTTGCTCAAGGGACTGCTCCAAACCTTTATGAATACATTTTATGTACAATTTTTGAATGAATAAATGAAATGAAAGAAATGAAAATTGAATTTAAAACAAAACACTGTTCCACTTGTTTTTAATTACAGATGGTAGTCCTGTTCGTTTTGAAGCACTTCATCTAATAGGAGTTGACGACATGAGTACCCAGGATATCTTCAGCTATTTCCAGAGCTATGATCCGTCCTCTATAGAATGGATCAACGACACATCATGTAAGTATACATACGTACATGTACATTTACTCTTTAATTTCACATTAACAGCATTTATTATTCAATTCAACAACTCATGGTGAAGAGGTTGGTAACACATGTAGTAATAACTCCTTGAAGAAATTTTGATTTCAACTTTTACATTTGGTGTTTAGTAGCCAAGGCTGAATTTTAGAAAGTTAGCTGGAAGATTTAAAGGTATACAGTTTAAGGTATAAATTCTTTAAAGTTCATAACAGATTTTGTGAAATGTCATGCACGCAATATGATACAAATCATATAACCTGGGCAAAGGCATGGGGAAATCAAGTTTTGGGGAATAAAAAGGGAAATTAATGGGATTAAACTACATAGAGCAATTGGTAAATAGTGAGGACATGACGTCACAAACTGATAACCATCTTGGCAATTTGTGTTGTGATTCTCATTGTTCCATAGTTTTACATACTTTTTCAAAAATTCATAACTTTCTTATTAGGTATCCGATTTTGCTCAAACTTTTTTGATTGGTTTGTCTGATTTTTCTGCTTTTATTGAAAGTAATAAGTTATTTTTCGAGTGGACTTGCCCTTTAAGTTTTGAGGACAAAGTGAACCTATACTTACATAAGTTTGTAATCCAAGCCCTTAGCACAAACATTTGACATACTTAAAGGCCCGAATTCACAAAGGAGGTTTAAATTCAACCCATGGTTTAAATCTTCATTTACATAACCCATTGTCTACAATCCAATATTAGACGCGTGCAAAGCAAGGTACCCTTAATATTTTGCGCTAATTTTTAAACCATGGGTAATAAGTTAAACCTCCTTTGTGAATTTGGGTCAAAGCCTGCAGCAAGTGTTCCCAGAGCAGACGTTAGATGAACAATGAAGTAGAAAGATATACATGTATTTAGATCCATTTAAAATAGCCTAACTTTAATTCCTGTTGACAATGATTACGAGGAGCAGATCTAGACTGTAGTAAGAAGAGGATGGGATGAGTAAGATGGAATGATCAATTAAAAGTGACGAGTGCGAGTCTAATTTTAGGCGGAGTTTGTGGAAGACGAGAGATTGTCATGCTGGGTTATATCCTGATAGTGAGAGCCTATTGACAGGTGGATTGGTAGAAATAGATTGACCGGTATGTATTTACTTGTCCCTGTGTTTAGGTTGTAGCAGGTGCGTACAGTACAGAAAATGAGAAGTAAACTTCATAGTGTTCATACGATGTTTACATGTAGCATAAAGCTATTGGCAATTGGTCAAGGTTATAATCTGTTAAGAGCTTGTAGATGTAGTAAGCTGTGGATAAATTTTAAAATGTTACTCCTGTAAAAACCAAAAAATTTCATGGAATGTAGCTTTCACAAATTATTATGGATGGCCATTTTTTTAACGGCAAGAAACTTTTGTGAATTGCAAAAGTTGAATGTTTCGCCAATTGTGATTCAGTCACTTTTGCAGCATGAATTTTTCATGAACTTTCATGAATTGATATGAACCACTCACAAAATATTGACTATTTCATGCATATACAAATTTTTGTTTTTGATTGTTAATTTTAGTATGAATGACATGGCTCTATGTTGTAGTTATTAATGAAAATGTTAGCAATATTAAAGACTGTTAGATTTCCCGGAGACTATTTTCTCAAGAGTTGATTTCTACAAAAAATATTTTCTGCAGCTCTGGTTACTTACTATCAGGCTAATCTTGCATCCATATGAACAGATTGGAATCATTATTTTGTTTTTAATTGTCCATTTTATGGGGTGGAACCGGCTGATGCTATACCTTTAAATAAACACCTTATGGATAAACATAAGAGACTGAAATTATGTTGTAGTTGTCAAGTAGGAAAATGATACATGACATGGTAGTGCAACTGTTAGAATTTCATCGGGGGTAGAAGAAAAAATAATTGAATGTCTTCCGTTTCTCATCATCTGTGGTTTGTGTGGCTGAGCAAGCGTTCACTCTCAAAAATAGAGAAAAAATGATAAGTTAATTGTGTGTGAGGAAAGTTATCTCTCTGTTAGCTAAAAATGCAGGGGACCCTACTTGTCTATGAAGGGGATGTATTCTAGTATTAAACTAAATATACCCTAAAACAAACAATGGTATGACCCTCTGATCATTGTCAGTGGTGGAAACAATGGAAAAGTACATTTTGCCTGAGGGGATGACAGGTTCTTGCGTGCCAGTGCCACCTGTAGTTTCTAATGAGCTGTCAGAAAGAGTTTTGGGTTTAAGCCCTGAACGGTGCAAGACGACAGCCTCTAGAGGAAAACCGCTTTTGACGTCATCTCGGGGAGGAAACAATGCTTTCCGCAATGAAACTTGCTCCAAGAAATAACCTCTTTAGGATAGTAAGCAGAATAAAGGCATTCTATCTATCGTGAGATTAATGTTGTATCGAGAGATAAAGAGATGTGGAGGGGGACGTGGGGGGAGAGACAGAGAGACAGAGAGGGGGAAGGGAGAGAGTGAGAGAGAGAGAGAGAGAGAGAGAGAGAGAGAGAGAGAGAGAGAGAGGGAGGTAGAGGGAGAGGGGGAGGGGAGAGACAGAAAGGGGGAAGGGAGAGACAGAGACAAAGCAGGGGGGGGGGAGGGAGGTACATACAGCGAGCAAGCGGGCCAGAAAAGAAAGAAATCTTGAAAGAGGGGGAAAAGGGAGTGAGTGAAAGCATTGCATGAACAAGAAAAAAGAAACAATCTGAAAGAGAAATAATCTGAAAGAAAGAATAAAGTCTCTCTCTTAATACTTGTAGTCTCTTGTAAAAAACAAAGAAAGAAAAGAAAAGCAGTTGATTTGATTATTAGAATAACATCATTTTTATAATGTATATGATGAATTTTTTTTTTTTTTTAAATCAAGTTATAAAACAAATTCCAAGTATTGATTTAAATGAAGGCACACTGTATCTCTCAGAGTATATAAAAGCAACAGTTTTTTTTTTTTTTATACAACTAGATAATTTGCTTACAGACTACCTGGTAGAATGTTGAAATGTATTTGATGATATACTCTACAGCATAAACACCTGATTTGAAGAAAAAATTTGAGCGTTAATGTTTGAAGGTGCGTCCCTCAAAAGAATATGAAAGCACTGCTTTTCTAGATCGTGCAATTACATGTAGTTGGTTTATTCATTACGCTTATTTTGTTATGTATTTGATGAGAACGATAGATTCTACAGCGTAAACACCTGATATGAAGGAGAAAAAAAGTTGAGCGTTAATGTTTGAAGGTGCGTCCCCCGAGAGCATATGAAAGCAGCGCTCTTGTAGAGCGTGCAGAGGTCTCAACACCTGTCACCAGGGTGCATTTAGGGCTGTTTGAGTGGAACTTTGCTCCACTTGCTGCTCACTTCCAAAAACGCTCTTAGCTCTTGTGTTCATTCCTTTCATTACAACTAGTCAGTCATGTAAGCAGAGATTTTGAACGATGTCTCAAGAACCTTCCTATATCCTCCTTTAGTAGAAGATTGTATCTTCACCCTTCAGACTTAATCGTCATGGGGACGGCTTGTGACATTTTGCAAAAGTGCCCAGCTCCATGTTTGAATGTTTCGTGCCCCAGTTCGAAAACAATTTGTTATGTTTGTTTTATGAAAGTTCTCAACTTTGAATGCAAGATTTATTTGATAGGCAATTGATGAATCTATTTCACAGTGTATAGCATACTTGTTGATAGTTGATACATGCTTTATAGTCACTGAAGGTATATACTGTATGTACCAGTTCAATCTTTCCTGAACCAGAAGGGTGTTAACTTATAAACTTCAAAAGTAAATCAACATTGTTCTGACTCTCAGGAAATAACTTATATTTCAAGGTCATTGATTCAGATCTACCAGCAATCATTCTAGGGCGCACTTTATTTCAATTTTAGGGTAGATTCACCCTAGGCTTGTATTTGTATGTATTTTCAAAATTATTTTCCTTATTCCTAAACCGCAAAACACCTGATATGAGTTTGGAGTTCATGTCTATCTAATTGAATTGTCAGTTTTTCATTTTTTAACTAATATGTTGGAGGGTTAAAACATTTTATTACAAGTTCAGTAATGCAATGTTTATGGAAGAAAAATTGCAGATCAACAAGTTATTTATTGAATATTTTAAGTATAATTTTGTTCAAACAACCATGATACACAGCAGTAATACACGCTAATTTAGAATAAATAAACAGCACAGGACATTGAACTTTTCAGGGCCAGTCCAATCAAGATGTTGAAGCTTTGACCCACCTTCAAAAAATGAAAGGTGTGTTGGGTACAGAAATCAAAGTGTGACTTCCCTCGTATGTCAGAAAGCAAGTCAAGTGCATGATGGGATTGAAAGGTCAAACATATCAATGTCGATCGGCGTAGAGCAATGAACTTAGGTTTAACTTACCGAAAGAGAGGGGGGAAAATTGTTGCAAAGATAAGAAGTGAGTTCCAAAGGCTTTTTTTCGACAAAACATATAATGAATTGGAAAGTATCATATTGCGCTTTTCTACGAGAGTTTGTTGCCATCAGTGGCGTAGACAGGGTGGAGATTTGACACGTTCTGTCAACAAAAAAACGATAGCATCAACTGGGAATGATTAATCCCCTTAATGTACATCATGTTTTGGGACCGAGAAAAGACGCAAACGTAATCACGTCTGTCATGAAATTGGATTTTCCTGTGTCATGTGATGTATAGATTGAATCACCTAATATACAATGCTTTAAACTGGGATAGTATGTGAGTATATGACATAAAACATATATACTCTTTTCAACTGAAGCACTGTAAAAGTGACCTTATGTAGCTTTGCTTTGGCTGTGGCTTTAGATTTTTATTGTACATTTACTTTGTGGAGGAAAAAAATAAAGAAATTGTGAATAATAGTACTTGAGACCTAATAACATGCCCTTTCCCAGAAGAAGTTTCAATTAACCCCCAAATGTAATACAACTTTACATCCGGCAAATTTTCATGATTGCTTGAAATAGACGCTTGTTGCTATTTTAGAAACAT